AACGGGTACGGTACGGTACGGTACGTACGTACGTACCGACGTACGTACGTACGTACCGTCGTACCGTCCGTCCGTACCGTCCGTCCGTCCTCCTCCTCCTCCTCCTCCTCCTCCTCCTCCTCCTCCTCTCTCTCTCTCTCTCTCTCTCTCTCTCTCTCTCTCTCTCTCTCTCTCTCTCTCTCTCTCTCTCTCTCTCTCTCTCTCTTCCTCTAGCGAATCTCTTTCTCTCAATCTCCACGGCACAGGAACTCCCTCGCTTTCTCTGTCACTGCACCAGTTGTTGCCTCCTGCCCCCAAAATCTCTTTTTCCTGCTTCTCATATCCCCAAATAACTCTCTTTTGTCTCTAGACTCTTCAACAGTTTTTTCTCTTTTTCTCTCTAAGATCTTGGTAACGGTTGTGAGTGGATTGGAGCTGTTCTCCATAAAGGAAGAAGGAAGATGAACGAGGAAGAAATGAAGACAGGAAAAGGAGAGAGAGAAAGAGATTCATGGGTTGCTTCTCACCAAAATTTCAGAACCCTCTCACTCTCTTGAACTCTTTCTTTCTCTAAGATTTTGGAAGGAACAAGGATAAAACACAGATTTCTATCTTTTTTAGATTTTTTAACAATTTTTTTAGATTTTTTGAGGGATTTTTTGGTTAGGGCGAGTTGGGCACCTAACTTGGCCACGTCACTAGGGCGAAGCTGAGTCACTTGGCAGTGTCCGAGTGAGCTCGGACGAGTCACTGCACACTGAGTACACCAAAAAGGGCCCTAGAAAATAACTTAAGGGGAGAAAGAAATAAAGAGACACCCTAAATAGGACTTTTCTTCTTGATAAACACCTGGTCCTGGACATCCTGTAATTTACCTTAATGCCACATTTCTGTAGTAAGCTATACTATGAAATGCTTCATTCTTTATTTTTATGGATAGGAAAATTTAACTATATTTTCCCTCTTACATAATGGCCAATTAAATAATCCAAAACAATGCTTCAGCAAAGTTATTCATTTGCTATTATACGCATCTTAATACAATCAAATAACTGATTTTGACTGGCAGTGCATTCAATAAAATTTTAAAAATAAAAAATAGGAAATACATTAATTATTGGATTGTCGTTTTGACTTAAAACAATCTCACAAACAGTAAGATTACTATGTTTTCAGTTTCGGAGCAGCCCTATGTCATTGATGTTACAAAACACTACCAGTATTACTTTGTTTCAGTTTCAGACCACCCCAATGTCTTCCTAATCAACTTTTCCATTCCCTTAGTCCATGTATGAGTTCAAGAAATATCTAGTATGCCTAAAACTCCTACCTTAATCCAATTCTCCCAGAATTTCCCCTATCCCCTTCTCCTTCCTTCCCTTCATTCACAATTGAATAAGTGAATTCAAATTCTGTAACTTACACATGAAAATTTTATCCACTTGCCTGGAACTGTAACTTCTGGCAACATATCTTCCGTGTGCACTACTAATGTGGAAGATGCGCCCATAAGGATCGGTTGAATCTTCTGAAATTCCAGCCCACCATCCCACCTGGAAAAAATAAAATAAACAAAAGCAGCATGTGACATTAATTACAAGAGACCAAAAGGAGTACGCATATCAAATTCCTCCCACACAAACCTAGAAAAATATTAATGAATCAGAAATTATGAGTCTGACACCCAAAAAATTCCTCTTCACATTTACAAAAAGTTTCAATTTCCAGAGCACATTCCTCTCAATGTGAGCCAGGCACACACCTGAATAATCTCCAAATTAATAAGACATAAAGAAGGCAGACAACCATTGGAATATGTAGCCTAAGTTCTTGTTTTGGTAAAAGGAAGTTCAATCAAAGTTATACTTGGTGTGTATTTGGATCAACATACTAGTACTGTTGTAAAGTTCTTTTTCTTAAATTTCTCAACACATTACTTCTGCCGTAATCTTCACTTTTCTTAATTATTACCCTGTAATTTTATTTCCAAATTAAATTTTTTATGTTAGTTCCATTTCCATTTTCCCTGCAACCCTTACTACAATCAGAAAAAGTTCAAAAGTAGATAGCTACAATGTATGATTATAAAAAATTAATTGTCTATACTCCACATTTGGTTATCTTTCTCAAGGAGTGACTCTCCAGTGAAGGATGCATGACAATTGCAGAACATCAGAATTAGATATACACCTAGCTAAAAGAGAACCACACCAATGGTAATACCCATGACCAAGGCATCAATATATTATATGTAGGGATTTAAGGGACATAGAAAAGTGAGAGTGTTGCTAGAATATCAACCAAAAAAAAAAAGTACAGGACCATGAAAAAAAGATGGTGTTCATTGAGAATCAATACTAGTATAAGCTCTTAAAAGACATGCCCAAGGTTTTATATATAGACTAAAGATTTTTTTGAGAGAAATATAGACTGAAGATAATCACCAAAAAACAGAAAATGCAAGCATTCAAAGCCATAAATGCAGACAGATCTAGCCAACAGATCAAAGCTGGTGAACTTTTATCCCTAAGCTTAAATACTCTACTTGGGCTCCAGGCTCAGGCCCTGCCCAAGAGAGTAATTTGGGTGAGTCCACAGCTTAAATACTCTGCTTGGGCTCCAGGCTCAGGCCCTACCCAAGAGAGTAATTTGGGGGAGTCCAAGTGGACTCACCCGAGTAGTGTCCAGGAATGAAAATGCCTTAGAATAAAAATCAGAAAAAATAAAAAAAATGGAAAAAAAGGAAATATATATATATATATATGTGTGTGTGTTTGGGGGTGGGGGGGGGGGGGGGGGTGGGGGTAGGAGAGTAGTTAGTAGAGGAGAGAGTAGAGAGAGAGAGAGAGCGATTAGTACGAAGAGAGAA